CTGTATTTTTACTGCACTTTTAAAAATATGTGTGGGCTGATAGTTCTAATCTTAAATTATGAACTTTTTGAAGATTCAAACAATATTTTATTTACCATGTATTTTTAAGTCTTTCTGAGGTCCCAGCATAATAATAGTAAAAGTACTTAAATGTGCCTTGAAATGAATTGAGGGATGAGAGAGTTGGTGGATTACTGATTAGGCTTCACCAGTTCAGACTGCACTGGTGTTGACCTTCTCATTGTAGGGCTGGCTCTAGTATCTTTTCATTGTCACTTTTAGGATTAGTTAAATATACTTTTTCTTTACCTGCTTCTGTTCACAGCTTCTGCTAGGCTGAATTTCTAAGATATCAAATTTCTACTTAGGACCTTTCTAGCCCCAAGCAAAAGTAAACACTTCCTTTAACATTCAGGCAGATGATATTAACTTGAACCTTTTTTTAATATAAAGAGAATTGCAGGTAACAATATAAACATGTATATGGTAACAACAGTGGAGAGTTTCTATGTGAAATCAAAGCAGTACCTGGCATTCATTTTCATAATACCTCTCACTTGAAGAGCCAAGTACATTTTGAGAACTTTATCCCATTAATCCTTAGAGATAACCTGAAAGAATAGCTTACATAGATAGGGTCACAGAGCCAGGTAGTGACAGTGTTAACATCCTGCTACCTTGCTCAGTATTTGAATAGTTTGGCTACTTTGTCTTAACAAACCATTGTTTCAATGACATAATGGAATATTTGTGCTGTAACAGGAGAATTCCTGTTTTTGGAGGTGGAAAGCCTTCCTTTCTTTTTCCCATAAATAATAACATGTGGGTGATTACATATTCTACTTTCAACTCCTAGGAGGAAAAGTTTGCAATGGAAGAGACAGTGGAAGTAATGACCAAGGGAAAAGAGGATGAGGGAATACTTTGTTGTTTTTAAGAGAATAGGGTCGAATGTTATCTTTTCCATATTTGTAAACCACCCTAATTTGTGGAAGTGAAATGTATACATGAAGCACTTAACCAATATTTACTATTGATGAAACCTATTTTAGGCCTCATCTTTTGTCAGAACAATCATAACTAATAACACAGAGTAACATCTTGTAAAAATGGGTTTGTCTCCCTCTCCTTCCTTTCCCTCCTCTATACACTCCATTAAGGATCTGAGCACCGAGCTAACACTGGGCTATGCATTATTCACTCATCCCATGTGCTCTTTCATGGCTTCGCACCAGTGCTTATGCCAAAATCCTCCTCCCTCAGTGCTCTGCCTATTGAACTTCTATTCATCCAGTGAGATCCAATTAAAATGCTAGCCAAGATGCCTTTTCTAAACGGCTGTTTTACCCTTAACAGCACCAATACCTCCCTCCACGATGTCTCCCTAACATTGGTAGACACAATTCTATTGTAGAACTCATCATCTTGTACAATTAATATATGTTAATATGTCTCTCTGCTCCAAAGAATGTGAACTATTTCAAGTTGGGACCAGGTTCTTTTTTTTTTTTTTAAGATTTTATTTATTAATTTGACACAGAGAGAGAGACAGCAAGAGAGGGAACACAAGCAGGGGGGGTAGGAGACGGAGAAGCAGGCTTCCCACCGAGCAAGGAGCCCGATGTGGGACTCGACCCCAGGATCCTGGGATCATGACCTGAGCCGAAGGCAGTCACTTAACTGACTGAGCCACCCAGGCATCCCGGGACCAGGTTATTATATTGTATGTATGTATTTATATTTTGGGGGCCGATACTATTGTATATCAGGCAGGATAAATATATGATAAATGTATATGCTACAGTCTGGACAGTACAAAAAGTTTAGTTTCATAAAGAGACAAGGTTTACAGAACATGATGGTATAATGTATTGGGCTAAGAAAATTAAGGCTAAGTACCTCCTGCATTCAACAAATATTTACTCAATACCTAGGAGTAAAGAATTGTATCCGAGGACTACCAGGATAAATAAAACACAGTCACTACCTTTGAGGTGCTCACAATCCACCTTGTAGATTGTCTTTCTATGCATACTGCACTTCCATGGTTTAGATATCACTTTACATGTTGTTCCTCATAACCACCCTGTGAAGCAGGTCACTATTTTCATTTTTATAGAGGTGGACACAGAGGGTTTGAATTCCCAGGTCTTTTGACTCGATGACCAGTCTTTCTACCCCACTACATCAATGTTTCTTGGAATTTTCCACTGGAGTACACTGTCACAGGGAGTATAGATTTATACTCCTCAGGGTTGGGAAATATAAGCTCAAAATCTAGCGTTATCTTAAAAATTCATGCTTACTCTAATGTTTTCTCTTCTCACTGAGTCAAACTGAAGGTCTAAGAAAATGAGCCACATTGATTGTGGGTGCTTCGGAGACCTTAGTACAGGGTTTCATGACCACAGGGGAAAACACAATTTCAGAAGCACATGCCTACACTGTTACTTTTACTCAGGGTGCCTGGGTTTGGTGTGCGTCCCTACTCAAGATTTTGGGTAACTTTGTCAGGTTTCTTTTAGGTTTCTAGTGGCATTATTTTATTTGTAGTCCTTTCTGAAGACTGCAATAAAACACACTCTACTCCCAGATTTTAAGGGAGCAGTGGGGGCTGATCCTTTCCTCCCTGCAAAGATGTCTCATTCTGGCAATTAGGTCTCTTCCGTCTGATACTACCCACCACCCCTTTCATTGCTGGTTAAACCCAAGAGTCCCAGATGTCTTCTCCAGCTGCCTGTTGGTCCCTGAAGGCCCCAAAGGCTCAACAATGCCCTCTAGACAGCACCGCCCTTTCCACGCCCACCGCAGGGCAGCTCAGGGCTGCAGCTCTGCTGAGCCCTCTAGTGGCAGCTAGGGTAACATGGCTTGTTCATGGAACGGATAAAAAAGCTCTCAAAAGTTGCACTCGGGAAGCCAGCCTGTGTGACACCGGGTAGCATACTTTAAAAGAAAGTCTTGTTTCTCAGCTTCCTTTCCCTAAGACCTTTGGCAGGTCTCAGAAACATTATCGTTCTCGAATGAAATCTCCTACTCCCTAGGATCTCCCCCTGCCTGGGTGTGGCAAGGTGGAGCCATCATTCTTTCTTGACCAAGTCAAAAATTAGAATCTGGGGGACTTGGCAACTTTCCCGAATGCTTTTTTTTTTTTTTTTTTTTTTACTTCCTCCATCTTCCCCATGGATATAGAGTTTACATATACATTCAAGATTTTTCAGTATTACATCATTTTCAGCATGGGTTGCAGATTGTGGAATTAGACTTCCAGGATCAAATTCCTGGCTCCCTCACTAATTGGATAGCTTTAAGAATGTTATTTAACCTCTCTAAGCTTCTGTTTCATCTGTATAATAGGAGAATAATAGCACCTACAGTATATATATATATATATAGTTTGGGAAGGAATAACTATGATATGTATGGAAAGTGCTAGATCTGGAATGCTGAATGTGCTCAACAAACATCTATTTTTATTCTTCTTCAAAGCTTCTGTCTAGTACACACCATGTCTATCAATTAGGTACAGAAAAATACTCTTTCCATAGGACACAAAGGTACATATGCAAAATGAATTCATAAACAACCTATATTTTCCTAAAGTGGCTAAGAGTACCTTAGATAATTTGTATTAAACAATCAGTGCAGGGCGCCTGGGTGGCTCAGTTGGTTAAGCGACTGCCTTCGGCTCAGGTCATGATCCTGGAGTCCTGGGATCGAGTCCCGCATCGGGCTCCCTGCTCGGCAGGGAGTCTGCTTCTCCCTCTGACCCTCCTCCCTCTCATGCTCTCTGTCTCTCATTCTCTCTCTCGCAAATAAATAATCTTAAAAAAAAAAAAAAAACAATCAGCGCAAAGGGTATCAGGATGCAAAGGGATGGAAGCGGCCTGAAATCCTCATGGAGGAGCTGTGTTTTGTACCCAGGTGTCCTTCCTCCCTCCCATTTCACCACACCCCACCATCTGCATCTGCGAGTGTTCAGGGTGAATCTGGGAGCCAGGCCTGAGTGCACAGTGGTGCAAAAGCAAGAGAGTTCCAGGGCAAGGCAGGGCAGAGAGCACTCAGAAGCCAGGAAGCCCAAGCCAATCAGATTCCCCACCCAGGACTCTAAAAGGTGGCAGAGCCTCCATGGCCCAAAGTCCAAGCACAGCAGGAAAGTGGCCAGAGAACCTGATAGGTAGAAACCTGATAGAAACTGTCAGAAAAGTTAAAGCTGAAGAGCTCACAACACCCACAGGCCCAGAGAAAGGTCAGTGTGAGTTGAGCAGCTGTTCCATCTGGTGCCAGAGGCCTTGGCTGTTGTCTTCTACAGCCAGGCAGTTCAGGCCGCCCTGATCAGCCCCACCTAGAAAAGCCAATTCTTCTGCTCTTAAAGGGGACTTGCTTGTTTCTAGCAGAGTCTTATTCCTAGTGGCCAAAAGTGTCTCTTAAGTATGAATGGGCAGAAGGGCGCAGAGAGTGCGTCCAAGGGTTCAACTGGCTCCAAAGAAGGTGCTTATGGCTGGAGCCTGAGCCTCCATGTTGCGAGAGCACTGCATGCATTTCTCTCAGAGGCAGGCAGGGACCTTGGCTGCCAGGGACCCTGACAAGCCGCGACTTGAGCTGTGCCTTAGAGCCTGGGTTGGCTTGAGAGCGGTATAGAGGAGGGAGGGAGGGAGGGCATTCCTGGAAAGGGGGTGGGGTGGGGAGGTGAGGGGAACAGCATGAGCAAAGGCACGAAGGAAGAATGAATCTGCTGCGCGTTGAGAATGGCATGGAGACTTCACTGATTGGAGCCGGGAGTTCTTGCAGGGGGATGGAGGCAGCTATGATTGGATAACTAAAGTGGGGCCAGATTTGGAGGGCTTTGAATGCCCGACTGAGAAGCACTCAACCCAGCTCCTGACTTGCGATTTCCGTTCAAGACTGAATTACCTAAAGGGTGGTTAATTCCAAAGGGTGTTCTTTGGGGGCTTCTGAAAAGTCAGCTTATCCTCTTACCTGCTTCAGTTCTCTTCACTTACCCAGGGAGAAAGCAATCCTCATTTGTCGAGGGGAGGGGGGGGGGATGTTGATTAATTTCACTTTTCCTGATTTGAAGATGCCAGAAAAAAACCCCAAAATCCCATTTCCACGCCAAATACTTGGTTTCTCCTCCTCCTCACGCAAGTTCTCTTTCTCTCGCCAGCACCTCCCCCACGTTTTCCTGCTCTCCTCCACCAGCTTGGCCAGTCCCCTCCTCGGCCCCGGCGGCGCGCGTTCCGGGCCGAGCTGGCCCGCGCCCGCCCTGCGCCCCCGTGCGCCCCCCTCCCGGCCCCCCGCGCCCGCGCCCGTAACCCGCACACGCTGGTCCACGCCCCCCCCCCCCCCCCCGGCGGAGCGGTAGGTGTTTTGCCGTCTGCGCCGGGCCGCAGTGCGGCTGCGCGCACTGGCTGCCTCCCGGGCTGGCAGGGCAGCGGCGGCCGCGGTGGCGGCGGGGCCGGGAGCGAGCGGCGGCGGCGGCGGCGTGGGGAGTGGCGTGCAGCCGAGCTTGGGGCTGCAGCAGTGCGGGCCCCCGGAGTAGAAAGCCCCGGGGGTCAAGAAAGGAAGGCCAGGCCGCGGAGTCCCTGAGCAGCCGTTCTTGGATTCGGGGGAGCCTTGCCCCCCCACCTCGTCTTCAGACGTCCCCTCCTCATCCCCCCCAGCCCCGGCCGCTGACGGGAGGAGGCGGCGGCGGCGGCGGCGGGGGGCTGAGGGGCGCCGCCATGCCTCTCCCGCGGTGAAGCGTCCCTGCCGAGAGGAGCCGCTCGGTCTCCCTGGTGATGTCCCCCAGGCGGCAGGCGAAAGCGACTCACTCGAGCCCTGGGGTAAAGGCCTAGCTTATTCAGCTTCCTTCCTCCTCCTCCTCTTCCCTTCCCCCCTCGTCCTCCTCTCCCCCTTCGTCCTCCCCTCCCCGCCTCTTCCCTCACCCTTCCCCGCGCCCCCATCTTCCCTCCCTCCCTCCCACCCCTCCAGCAGCGATGGCAGAGGAACAACAACAGCCGCCACAGCAGCCTGATGCCCATCAGCAGCTTCCCCCCAGCGCCCCCAACTCGGGGGTGGCTCTGCCAGCCCTTGTGCCTGGGCTGCCAGGGACAGAGGCCAGCGCGCTGCAACACAAGATCAAGAACTCCATCTGGTAAGAGGATCCTCCATCGCTGGGGTAAAAAAGCCCAGGCACATTTCTGCTGCAAAGGGGGTTGGGGGGCGGCGGGCGGAGGAGGAGGCTGATGCATTCATTGAATGTGGGTATCCAGAGTCGGGTGCATATTTATAGGACCTCTGGAGGTGTGCGGACTTTGCATCAGCCTCTCGTCTCCATAGCCAAAAAATGTCTTTACCCCCTCCTCAATTGTGAGTGTAGATAAACAAGTTATATGTGTTTTTCCACTTACGTGCAAGAGGAATATGGGTCGAAATTAAGTCATATTGCATGATGGTGGCATGAATTTGGGACTGAGGAATGTGAAATGTGTTTACTCCTTTTTGCAAGCATACAGGGAGGAAGAAGTGTATTGTGAATTTTCACCAGACATTGTGCCTAAGAATATTAACATGCAGCACAAAAACCTAATGTGTCTCTTCCTTTCCGTTGGTTTAGCTGCTATTTCTGGATGTTTTTGCCTTCTTTATTCTGAGATTAAATTTCCTTTCCAGGGAGTTTATTTGCATGATTTTGAAGAAAGGGCTTCTTTGGTATAAGGTATTTTAAGGTGGTGGTTTACACTGTAAAGTGATTTTTTAATTTAAAAACATTTTAATTTAAAATGTCTTGTTATTTCGTGTCTTTTTAGAAATCATAGATGAGATACCCTTTGCTATTTCTGTACTTTCTTGTATGAGAATTTCAGCATTAGGTTAAACTCTGAAAGACTGGTGGCAGTCTTTTAATAATTAAATACACTGGGTTAAGTCTGTCTTCTGTTAGAGCCATTGTAAATATTCTTTGAACATGAACTTGCATTATTTCTGTAGGACTCTTTATTAACTGACATTTTGTAAAATGTAGTGCTGTTTTAAAAATGGAAAGCAATATTTGGAATTTGGTCTAAGAGATTGCTTTTAATAGAAGTTTTAAAATAGAATTGAATGTGGTGTAGAACAAGCTCTGATTTTAAAAATGAAATCTTGCATGTCCATCATTGAATATGACTACTAAAATATCAAAACTCCTTACTTTCATTGCAATTTAAAAATAAATGCATCATAAAAACAACTGCCATCGCAGTACAGTATTTAGACATTTAAAAACAGTGGCAATTTTTAAATACAAAATTAAGGTTTGTTATATAGTAATTTTTTTTATTTCTTGGCATACATCCATATTGTCATGATGCTAATATGAAGTAGGTCAGTGCAGGCTTTAATAGTTTCTTACTACACAGTAATTGGCAGTTGAGTATCTTGCTTTCAGTTTTAATTTTAAGATGTTTAAATATTTTAAAGGAGAATTTTTTTTTTGGCTTTGATAATCAATAGTCATGTTTTGGCAACTTGAATAGGTCAGATAAGTAAGATTGTCTTCTATGTGTGTGTGTGAAACACAGAAAGAGAGAAGCGTTTATTCTTTGATGGATATCCTCACCCCCTTTTAAAAGCTGTTATTTAAAGGGAGAGATGATTAATTTTATGCTTACCATCAAGGTTTCCAGAAATCAGTGGGGTTCCCCGCCCTTAACTTGATGTAACTTAGTGTCTCTGAAGCCATCATTGAATTGCATTAATAAACACCTTGGTTTTTACATTTAAGGTAAGGGACACCCAAATTAAAGGACTAAGTCTTTTAAGAAAGGCACATTTTAAAAGTTGAATTAGTAATGTATATTTTAATTTATTATGAGAACAATAGGGGAAAGGAAACTCCACTTTATATTTTTAATATAGGAGTAAATTGTATAGCCAACTGAACAATAATGATAGTGGAGTGCTCTTTTTGGTAAATCATGTGATTTAATTATTCTTTCATTGATAATTTATATTTACACATTCATTACAGCTTAACGGCACTGACTCTAATGTGAGGAAAAACTTACCCTGAAGTAGAGTGCACTTCATTTTTTGCTACTTGCTCAGAAAAAATAACAGCAACAAACACCTTAATCCCCAAAATATAATTTTATATCTTTATTTTAAAATTGTAATGGCGCACTTACTAGCGTTTAATTTTCAAGTGTAGAAATCCTATTTGCAAAAATGATTTCTTCATATTGTGTTTAGAACTTTGGAATAAACGACATTAGTGGATAATAAAAAACATTAATGGATATAATTAATATATAGTCTCATATCCCCTGCTCTACAAGACTGGATTTATATTATTCATCAAGTGACTATATAAAATAAACACACTAAAAAATGAAAGCTCTTTCACCACCTCCTTTGAACTAGTGTGTATATGCTAAATTAAAATCATTTTTAATAGATAAGATTACAGTTTTTTAGGTATCTCATTTCACATTTTGTGAGTGAACAGTATCTTTTTATCATTTATTTTATAACTTGATGATGCTCTGAGAGATCAGTTTTGTACCCCTTTCTGCATCAACCTTTGGTATCATTACTAATGAGGATTTAAAATTACGTTAATCCAAAATGTGGCATTTAAAAATTATCAAAAGGATTTTGCATTTAGGTTGATCATAGTTTCTAAATTATTAAACTTGCAGATTACAAACAAGTCTGTACTTGTCTTCCTATTCAACAAATATAAATATAGTATGTGAGGCAGGTCTTTAGCTGGACAATGAGATACTTATTATTTCAGTTGATAATTAATTTATTCTGTTTATTAAACTAAAATGCTATTTGATAAAAGTATGTCCATTGTAATTTCAAGCATTAAATGAGACTTTGGAAAAAAAAGATGAAGTGTTCAAAGTTGAAATCATTGGTATCTAATGAGACCAGAAACTATATTTCATAAGAATTGGAAATATAATTTATAATTTTTTAAGGTAGTTCTAGAAAATAAAGATACTGCCAACTTGATAGTGTTGTAATATTTGTGTAATATATTTATGAATATCATCAACCTAAATCCAAGTTAACAAGCCTGCACTATTCTTGACCTTCCTCATTCCCATTCCAGAGACAAGGTCCAAGTCACTTAGTACTTTGAAAGGAGATTTATTTGCAGAGATGTGTTTTAATACTGAATATGCTGTGAAAATGTTGTTTATCTTTTCTAAACAATAGAATTTTAATATAAACTTTTCATTAAAAAAAGAAAGCTAGCAACATAAAACAGCCAATACTAACCTCACTGCAAACTTCTTGAACTTACATTGCACCCCTGTTTGGTTACTTAAAAAAAGAATGCCAAAGCAAGTTTTTCTTTCCTCTTATCTCCCACAGTGTCTTCATTGTTTAAAAGAGAAAAAAGAAAATTTGTATTTAGTTTACATATATGTATGTATATACTAAGTGTTTTCTTTTCCATTTTAAAGCAGTTTTACTTGAAACCCTGATAGAATAAAATTGCTATGGAAAAAAATAGGATAGAAAAAATTACATTTGATCTCTCTTCTGTCTGTTGGTGATTAGTTACAAGAAAAATCATGCTTTCATGGGTGGGAGTGATTAACGTATTTGCCATTAGGCTGTAACATAAACAACAAACCTTTACCTAGAAATTAAAAGAAATCTTGATGTTTTATTGTAGAAAATGTTCTAATACTGTATTTACTCAACAAATGAATTCAGGGATTCTTAAAAGATTTAGTTATCAATTGTTATTTGTATATATATAAGCTTTTATTTGTAAGTAAGACTGTATAAGCCATTTCTTAAATAGTCCTGTAAGATGTGTCACCGTTCTACACACTTTTTGGAAACAGATAAATGACAGGAAAGCTAGGATTCCTCTCATTCATTATCAGACCCTGGAAGCTGTGCGTGCCGTGGCCAGAGTTCCTTGTCTTTATTCAGTCCTGTAAGTCATACAGACTTCTGAATCTCATACATTTTAGACTTAAAATTATAAATAAACTGGAATTATATATGTGGACCATTTGGATGTTTTCTAAATTCTAATTTAAACCCAATTTTACTTTCTTATGTATTAGTTACAATGAGCAAAGTATGATGATCCAGAAGGTTTACATGGTGATACCATATTAGACCTGATTCTGTCCCATATACTAGAACTCAGCAGTTCCATTTTGTCCTTGGTTCTGGGTCAGGGCATTTATTAGCTCTGTCTGAGAAATAGTTGTTGTTCCTTCTCCTGCAGTGGGAAACATTTACTGTAAAGCTTATAACTTCAGAGTTTACTTTAACCATAAGTCCCTGATCTGCATTTTGCTTTAAAATGAGAAACTGACTAGTACATTAGCTGGCTTTCATTATTTTTGATTAGTTGGTTGAACATGCTGCTTGCCCTGAGTTTAGCCTGTCGTCCATACCAAGCACACCAAGGGTGCTTTTGTTTGTCTATATTGAGGCCAGCTGTGATGGTTGCATCCCAACACCGAATGTTTGTGATTCCAGAAAGAAGGCAGTTCCTTGCTTTCCTCTATGATTTGAAACTAATGAAATTGTCTTCCCTCTTGACCAGGAAGGCAAGTTAAGCAATTTGAAGCCCCTGGATTTTCTGGCCTATTGTTTAGCTCTTAGGTAATGGATGTGTGTGTGTATAAATAATTTACCAATTTGCTCTCCCCACTGGGAGGTGTCTTGACTGTTATGTGCAAAAC